CCCCAAAACCCCAAAACCCCAAAACCCCAAAACCCCTTTTTTGGGATGGAAGTTGAAATATGAATGGAAAAAGAATGGAGAAGAGGGAAGTGAAAGGGGTTTAGGAGGTTTTTATGAAGGAATAGAGGATGGAGGGTGGAGGGTGGAAGAGAAGGTTTTGAGAGCAAAAGTGAAAGATATGAAGGTTTAGAAGAAGAGATTTGGTGTTTGTAATAGTTCTATAATTTTTAGAAATTTCCTAACATCACCTTCTAAACTTCCTCCTTTTCCACAAACATCTATCTTCCCATCCCCCAATCCCTCTCATTCACTTCTCTACACCAACTCCACCCACTCAAACCTCCTCGCCCTCCTAAAATCCTTCAAAACCCATTCCAAAAATTCTTTCCCAATTCTCTAACCTCTACTCATGAATTCTTCAAAAAAACTTAAAGCCAAGATTGATCATGTGGTTCGCTCACAAATTTTAGAAACAGGCTTGGCCAGGATGTAGATTAGGAGCAAGTGAAGTAGGGAGAGCATGGACTTGGGAGTTTAATTCAGAAGCTTTTGTTGGGGTACTATTGGAACAAATGAAGATATAATCTAGGCTTACAGTAAAGGATTATTGGTATGTTTCTTAGACAGGATATCCATGTACAGGAATCCTGATATATTATATTAAGTTTTCATAAAATAACTAAAAATATTTACAATAAGGTATATGTCAAGATCTCAATATCACAACCTAACAAAAACGCCTGATAACTCCTAAGAACCTCTTTCACTTAATTTATTTATTATTATATATTTACCCTAGAAAGATTTTCCCAAGCGATAAGCTAAAATTGATAATTTTGATATCGAGATTTTATAACTGCTCTAACAATTTTCTAAAAACTCATCTGATTGTGCATGTTCCGCAGAGACTGTCCCTCTAAATTTTCATGCTAAGAAAAACTTATGCTTTATTTATTATGATAGATAAGGTTAGTAAGAAATCAGGCAAACATTTTTTGTAAGGATTGGGCGAATGTCGGTGTAGATGCTCACCAAGCTATCATAAAATTCACCGGGAAATGCATCCCAAATCTTGATATAGTTAAAGTTTAACCGAAACCATCTCATCCTTTCTACTAATAAATTTAGCAAATGAGGTTAATATTTCCTGTATAAGCCTGATACGTGTAGAAAAGGATCTTCTCAGACTAAAATAAAAGATAGTTTGTTATTTGGAATAAGGGTTTTTAAAGTTCTTTCTGACATTAGCGCCATGGTTTGAGGTAAAATATTATTGAGAAATTAAGGAGTAGATAGTCCAACCAGTAAGGCTTAGGATTTAATAGCTCTAAGAACTTGGTCCAAATGGATCTGTCAAATTTTCATTGAGTTGAGGAAGTTGTTGATTTTGTTCTCTTTCTTGTTAAAGCTCTTAAGTGGTGTCACCAGGTAATACTCATTACTAATTATTAACCTGAAGTTCTTACCTCTGAGGCAGCTGCTCACTCTTAAAATTTTTTGTAATTTTAAGCTTTGTCAAGCAGAGCTTTTCCTTTCTTTTTTGCATCTGATCAGATGGTTTATCATCTCAACTATTAAAACTCAATTCATTTCTTTTCGAAAGTGCATAATTCTTTCTGATATTCTATATTTCAGGTTAAATATTGATTAAAAAGTGCTAAATCCAGTGGGGAGAACACCTGGTAGGCAAATAGTTACTCAAAACACCTTTCAATATGAGCGCGAATGCCCGAATCTAACTGAGCTTGTATTAAACTCACCTTCTTCCTACTATTTAAAGCTAACATATTATTAATTATATTCTAAAATATTCATTACTCAAATAGAAAATGGGGTTTTGGGGTTTTGGGGTTTTGGGG